GCTGACTGGAAGGTGCTGCTGATCGTGTAAGCTGGTGTTGCAGGAGCTGGAAGTGAGCTTGCATATATTCTAACACACCCCCCCTCAAGATGGTCTATGGAGATCAACAATAGTCCATCTTGAAAATTAAAGTGTGGTACATGAAAGGAAAAATCTGAATCTGGTGAGCTGTAAGGGCTGAAGCTGATGCATGACAAGCTGAACAAGCTGCTGTTGAGACTGGAAATCTTGTTGAATTTGCAGTCGAGGTCTTTTACGTTTACAGGAAGAACTGATGATGACATCTTAAAGAAGCTAAAAATCTTAAATTCTATATCCACTCTTTTTCCACAGAATCTGCAAGACTTGAATCTGTATTTTCTGAACTGGGAACCAAAAAATGGACAGGAGACAGGCCCTAAATCGTTAGGCTCTTCAACTAAGATCTCCGCAGATGAAAGTAATGAGGGGCCCGGTTTGATACTTGAAACTTGGAGAGAAAGATCTTCCATGAAAGGACCTTTCAAAGAAAGGCTTGTGACCAAACAGTTTCCATCACTCTTGCTCTGTTCAATTGGTTTGTAGACTGGTCTTATCAGGTCCATATCAACAGGTTCAGGGAGATGACTCACCCCGTGGAATGAAGTAGAGCCAATTTCTTCAAATGCATCACCACTTAATTCAAACGAAGCAATATTGGACATGATTTTCTCTTTATGCAAACAGAAAAGAAAATTGGAAACCTTGTCTAGATCATTATGCAGCCACGGTAAGTTTCCTTCGTTGTTTTGAGATGCCTGCTGAAGCATCTAAGTTCATTGAAGATATGGCCATGGAGCCTGATGTCTCTATCTGATCTGCCTTACTAACTGCATTTTGTACCCATGGAAATGTTAAATTGGCAGCCTATGCTTGGGAGCAGTTGCTTGACCAGAAAATGCCAGGGTGGTTTTACAGCTACTTAAGTGGGATTTCCCAGGAGTTCTTGAAAAATGAAAAGGTCTGGAAAAAGACACCATCCTGGATTGAAGACAGAAACATAGTGCATTCTTTTGTTTCTGGTGATCATCATCAACTAGATGATAAATTTCTACTTTCTTATATAAGGAGCATAGATGTAAAAGTGAAGGCACCAAAGTACTATGATAGGCTTAACATTCAGGAATAAGAGATGGAAGAAACTGGAAGAGTTCATAGTGAAAAACTTGCTTTGGATTTTTCCCTAATCAGATCTCCTCAAACACCTCAAAAATAGGGATTTGCCAAGAACCAATAGAACATTTTTGAAGACCTCTATGACATAGCATCTTAGAAATGAAGAACAGAAACAAAATTGAAAAAGGAACTGATATTGGAAACTTGCTATTTTCAGTGCAGAAGTTCGTGAAAAAAAAAATCTGATGAAGAGGAAGAAAATCTCTTCTGGTAATTGATCTCCTCCACGAGGTAGGAAATGATTTGGATAGATCATCAATGGCGGAATAACTCATTGATGAAGAAGAATTGATCTGGTTTTGCAGATCGCCAGTGGGAACTTTTGTCGAACACCTTGAACGAAATTCGAGAAAAAACTGATTTGGTAGATTTTGATTTGGATTTGAGCTTGAGTTTTGAAATGGTGTTTGATTTTGATTTATATTAGAGCTTTAATGGATGAAAATGGAAGAGACTGAATATGTGGACAGTGCCTCTTGTGCTGGCAGTTGCGAGAAGAAGTCAGGAGCATTTTGAAGGCTGAAAATAATCTGCCAGCCTTAATCTTTGTGTAAAGAAAAAATAGTAGAAGGAGTTCTGCTCGGAATAGAGATCAGAACTTTGAACAATCAACCTGCTCTGATACCATATTAGAA